AATTACACCTGTCACTTAGTAGCTATATGACCTTGAGCAAGCTAACTGATATTTCTTTTTCTTTTTTCTTTTTTGGTTGCTCATGAGGCTTGAACTCTGGGCCTGTGCACTGTCCTTCAGCTCTTCAAATGTAAGCTAGTGCTCTACCACTTGAGCCACAGCATCACTTCCAGTTTCCTGGTGGTTAATTGGAGATAAGTGTCTCATAGACTTTCTTGTCTGGACTGGCTTGGAACTGCCGTCCTCAGATCTCAGCCTCCTGAGTAGTTAGGATTACAGGCGTGAGCCACTGACACCTGGCGCTAACTAATATTTTTAGCTGCAGTTTTTTCTGAGAGAGTTCTCAGGGAAATAGTATCTATAAAGAACCTACCCAAAGGATGAACTCAAAACCTGCTCAGGATTATAATTCTGGCTACTACTTTAAAAAATGAGACATTGCCAGGTGCTGGTGGCTCATGCCTATAATCCTAGTTACTCAGGAGGCTGAGATCTGAGGGTCACAGTTTGAAGACAGCCCAGGGAGGAAAGTCTGTAAGACTTTTATCTCCACAAAACTACCTAAAAAGCTGAAAGTGGAGCTGTGGCTCAAGTGGTAAAATGCTAGTCTTGAGCAAAAAGTTCAGGGACAATGCCTTAGACCCTGAGTTCAAGCACCAAGACCAACACCAAAAAGAAAAGACAAAGTTCAAACCATGGTTGGATAAGTAACCTCCAGAAACCATGTATTAAAAGATGGCACTACCTAGCCCATGGCACTGTTGGGAAATGGTGGAACCTTCAGGGTAGAATCTAGTGGGAGGTCTTCTAGCCACTGGGACTCCAATGTATCTTCTCTCCTTCACATCCCAGCCATAGGTGAATGTGTTTGCCATGCACTGCCACCACAAGGTGCTGTCTTGCCACAGGCCCAAAAGCAACCATGCCAACCAGTCGTGGGTTGAAACCTCCAAAGCTGAGAGCCAAAATGTGCTTTTGTTCGCTAGAAGCTGATTATATTAGTATTCGTGACAGTAGTGGAAAGCTAACGCAATTCCTGTAAAATTTATTCTAATACAATGTATAATTCAATGAGTTTGATTATGTGCATGATGCTATGCAACCATCACAACTAGTTAATACCAGAACATTTCTCTGAGTGCCCCCCAACCCTTCACCTTCCCAGTCTTCTACCTGTTGGTCCCAATTCTCATTAGCTTCTAGAAGCCACTAATTGTTCTATATATTTGCCTACTCTGGCTATGTCATATAAATGGGATTATACAACATATGGAATTCTGTGGTCTGGCTTCTTTCACTTACCATAATGTTCCAAGTTTCACCTGTATTACAGCATATAATTCATTTTTATTGTTGAATAATACTCCATTATAAGGATAAGCCACCATCTGTTTATTTATCAGTGAATGGAAATCTTTTATGATTGCCATTACATGGTTGGGCCCAAACCAGAATGAGAGCTGGGATGTCCAACTTTCCACCTGGTTCTGTTTTTACTCTCCCATATTGTATTTTATAACATCTGAGCCTATATATTCTTTTAAATAGTAGTTATTTGTCAAAAATCAATTTTGCTACCTTACTTTAGGATTTTATACCTTTACAATCCAAAGAAATGAAATCTAAACCAGGTGCTGGTGGCTCACACCTGTAATCCTACCTACTCAGGAAGCTAAGATCTGAGTATCACAGTTCAAAGCCAGCCTAGGCAGGAGTCCGTGAGACTTTTTTTTTTTTTGTCGGTCGTGGGGCTTGAACTCTGGGCCTGGGCGCTGTCCCTCAGCTCTTCAGCTCAAGGCGAGTGCTCTACCACTTGAGCTACAGCGCCACTTCCGGTTTTCTGGTGGTTTATTGGAGATAGGAGTCTCACGGTCTTTCTTGCCCGGGCTGGCTTTGAACCGCGATCCTCAGATCTCAGCCTCCTGAGTAGCTAGGATTACAAGCGTGAGCCACCAGCGCCCGGCTTCCGTGAGACTCTTATCTCCAATAAACTATACAGAAACAGCTGGACGTAGAGCTTGCTCAAGTGGTAGAGTGCTAACCTTGAACATAAAGAAGCACAGTCAGAGATAGCACCAGGACTCTGAGTTCAAGCCCCAGGTCCAGCAAAAGGAAAGGAAGGAAGGAAGGAAGGAAGGAAGGAGGGAGGGAAGGGAGGGAAGGGAGGAAGCAAGCAAGCAAAGAAAGAAAAATCTAAACTTGTGTGGAAAATTGTGCTAAAAGACAGAATTAATCTTAATTTTCTAGACTCTACTAGTGGTCTCTATCCTACAATGTTTCACTGAGATCTGTCATACATTTTATTTACATGTGTGTGTGTGTGTGTGTGTGTGTGTGTGTGAGAGAGAGAGAGAGAGAGAGAGAGAGAGAGAGAGAGTTCACATGCTCATACACCATGGCCCAGAATCAAGGTAAATTTTTATTAGGCTTGGCTGATGGTTGAGTTTTCTTCTTGCTTGTTCACTTTACTCTGTGACAAAAATAGAGAATTATTCTCTTGTCTATCTAATAGTCACTGTCATTGCCCTGATCTGAGCACTAGACATGAGGAATCTATGCCTTGGGCCAGAATCTGGTACTTTTCAATTACAACTGATCATCAGTTCTTCCCTTTTCATCCTTAAATGCAGGTCCAGGGTGAGGTGAGAGGAGGACTCTGAAGGCCTGTCCTCCTTCCCACGTTCTGAGGGCGCCAGCTCCCAGATCTGATTTTTCCTGGTACTGAGCTCTCAGAGGGCATCTTAATGTCTGTTTACCCGCATCCCTCATCTCCTTAGAGTCAGCACTGTGCCTGGAGCGAGAACAGCTGGCTTGGCACACTCACTCACTGAAGACATAGGCACCATGGCTTCGGGCCTTCTATGTGGGAGTAAGACCAAAAGCAAGTGTGATTCGTGGGGCTCGGATGTTGACACTCTTTGCTTGGGAACTAGTGATGTATAGCATGTGGCAAGATTCCAGTAATGAAGACATCTCCCTGGGTTCTTTAGAGACCTGTGCTTCTTTGTTTGGAAGGGCCAGCGTGGCCTGGTTTTCCAGATTCAGTCAAGTGTCCTGTTTGATGAAGCTTTCATGACTTAGGCGTCTGAACACTGCCAGTTAATTCATTTGCTGTTCTATTAAGATCTTTGCTATTGTTGTTGTTTCCATTTCATGGAGTTTAATTTACAGCAGCTCTAACGCATCACACTTCATATACATCATCTCATTTCTACTACCTCCTGCTTCTCAGGATTTGCCAGGCCTTAACTCCCTAAGAAGCCACTGAGCCTGACCCTGTTTTCTCATGCTGATTATCCTCTACGGCTCCCACTGTCCAGATTGGCACAGTTCCTATCCTGTCCATTTGTTTCCTTCTCTGTCAGCATTCCTCTTAATATGGTGCCTGTACTAGCTGTGACAGCCTACATGTGCAGTGAACAGCCCAGGCTAGCACCTTCCCGGAGAACAAGCCTGGCATCCATTCTGTGCAGCCTACAGGAACTGGAGCTTACTTAGGCAGAGGCTCCTGATCACCAGCCAGCTCCCTGCTCCCACTTAGTAGTGCATCTTTTTTTAGCTTAGCCTCTGAGAGACAGACGTTTCTATTATTCTGTTGGGGTTTTTTAAAAATTGTAAACACAGAGCTTCAGGTCTCCTCCACTCCATTTAGTCTATTCTTTACCTCGGGAACATGTAGAATTGTTTTATTGGCAATATATGGGTGTGATCATTCTGATGCAAGTTATTGAGGAAGTAGAGAAAATTTTTCTGGTTTGACCTCTCTGTCTCTTTAAAATCTATTCTGTCCACTGAGATATAATTTATATGTGTTTATGAAATGCAGTATGGTTTCAGTGTATGTGTATAATGTGTAGTGATCAGATCAGAATAATCAGCATCATCTAAGATATTTATCATTTCTTTGTGTTGAGAACATCTAAAATTAAATTCTCTCTACTAGCTATTTAGAAATCTAAAATACTTACCCTCCTGTATTACTAAACAGAACAGTTCTTGTTAGAACTGTAGCTCAATAGTAGAGCCCTTGTCTAGCATACATAAGGCATTGGATTCAATGCCCCAGAGCTGGGGGGAGGGACTTGGACATGGTGGCTAATGTCTATAATTCTGGCTTCTTGGGGAGGAGATACAAGGACTAAGGTTCAGGTCTAGCCTGGGCAAAAGGAGATAGCAAGGCCATGTTTCAGAGTCCTTGCAAGCCAAGTATTATGGCCTACAACTGTAGCTTCAGCTACATAGGAGGTATGGGCAGAGAGATCCTGGTCCAAGGCCATGCACAAAGCATGAGACCCTACCTGAAAAATAACTAAAAAAGATTGGTGGTAGCATTCAAGCAATAAAGCACCTGCCTGACAAGTGCAAACCCCTGAGTTCAGATCCCAGCATCATCAGAGAGAGAGAGAGAGAGAGAATTTTATATTTTATTATTTATTTATTGTCGGTCCTGGGGCTTGAACTCTGGGCTTGGGCTCTGTCCCTCTGCTCTACAGCTCAAGGCAAGCTCTGTAGTGCTTGAGCCATAGCACCACTTCAGGTTTTCTGGTGGTTTGTTGGAGATAAGAGACTCACGAACTTTCTTGCCCAGGCTGGCTTTGAACTGCAATCCTCAGATCTCAACCTCCTGAGTAGCTAGGATGACAGGCGTGAGCCACCGGCGCCTGGTGAGAATTTTATATTTTAATGATTGGTAGAAGTGGCTCTGTTGCTAGAAAAATCTTATGCTGATTCCGTGTCATAGAAGATACAAATTAGTAATTTCTAGTTCATAGTAACATTGTCTTACTTGGGGGAGGTTGGGGTCATTTTAGCAGCAACAAATTACACAGATCACAAGTAGGAGCTGTGTTTTGAGCTTTCTAGAAAGCCTAAGTACCTCATTCCATTGGCCAGGTCATCAGCCACTGAGTCCTGGGATCAGAGGGGTGGGGAGCAGTGGGTGCTACTTGTCCAGGAAGGGTGTTGGCGGCTCTAATTGGCAGTTGTCTCTCTCTGCTGCAGTTACCTGGCTGAGCAGTGCTGGAATGGCGGCTTCATCTACCTGATCATGCTGCGGCGCTTCAAGCACAAAGCCCATCCTACTTACAATGGCCACAGCAGCAACAGCTCTGAAGCGGGCGACATACCTACCTTGGAGCTGGGTGACCAAACTTCAAAAAAGGGGAAAAGAACAAGAAAATTTGGAGTCATTTCCAGACCTCCTAGCAACAAGGTCCCAGAAGACCCTAAGAGCAGCGCTGGCAGTGAGTTGGCTGATGATCCCAGCTCTGAGCAGGAGAAATGTACGGACCCTGAACTTGGAAGCGGGCATGGCTTGGAGCTGGAAAATGGCCCACATTCTCTCAAGGAGGTGACTGGGGCTCATGTAGAAAAGACAGAGGCGGACAGAGGAGCAGAGAATAGAGTTCCAAAGACAGATGCACCTCTGGCCACCAGCAATGACAAACGACGCTTCTCAAAAGCTGGCAAGACGGACTGCCAATCAAGTGACTGCCTGGCACGGGTAAGGTTTGGTTCACTTACACACAATCGATTTTAAAGGAAATTTTGTTTGCAGTTACTTTTCAAGTTTAGAAAACCCCTAAGATATTCAGAAACCAAAAACCCACCAAGAGAAATGATCAGGAAGAGCCGCTTCTACCAATCATTGAACTCAGGGCCTGGCTTACATGGTAGAGCACCTGCCTTTCAAGCAGATCATAAGTTCAAACTCCAGTATGACCAGAGATGGGGTAGGAGAGGAAGATAGCAATAACAAGAAAAAGGTTTGTGATTTTTTTGTGGGGGAGGGTCCGGTCATGGGGCCTTAATTAACTCAGCCTGGGTGCTGTCCCTCAGCTCTTCAGCTCAAGGCTGAAGATACAAACAAAAGCAGCTGCTTCTTTGTCTGGTGGACTCTTCCTGTGTGACACTGAAGCTGGGATGTTTGGGCTATCCAGTGCCAGCCCGAATTCTTGGCCTTGAAGTAGTAATTGCACTGTGTCTGCAGTGAGGATTAAAGAGGCAGCTCAAGTACTTTATCTGCAGCATTTATGGTACTTTTTTTTTTTTTTTTTGTCTGTTGTGGGGCTTGAGTTCTGGGTCTGGGCGCTGTCTCTCAGCTCTTTCAGCTCAAGGCTAGCACTCTACCACTTGAACCACAGCACCACATCTGGTTTATTGGAGATACACATCTCATGAACTTCCTGCCTGGGCTGGCTTTGAACCTCGATCCTCAGATCTCAGTCTCCTGAGTAGTTAGGATTACAGGTGTGAGCCACCGGCACCCCGGTATGATACAAATTTTACAACAGCAAGCCTGAACTTTTCCCCTTCTGATCACTTGGCTAGCTCCTTATGTAAGTAGAATAAAATCACAAACCTTGGGGCTGGGAAGGTGGCTCAGTGGTAGAGCACTTGCCTTGCATGCATGAGGCCCTGGGTTCGATTCCTCAGCACCACATAAGCAAAAAAAGAAAAAAGCTGGAAATGGCGCTGTGGCTCAAGTGGTAGAGCACTAGCCTTGAGCTGAAGAGCTGAGGGACAGCGCCCAGGCCCAGAGTTCAGCCCCACAACTGGAACCCCCCCCCCCCAAAAAAAAAAAAGAATTTCACAGACTTTCCTTCCTGGTCTGGCTTTGAACCTTGATCTTCAGATCTCAACCTCCTGAGTAACTAAGATTATAGGCATGAGCCACCAGCACCCTGCACCAGTACTATTTTTATGAGATTATGTCATTGCATTGGTAAATTCCAGTGAAGTCTAGAACCTTCACAGAAACCTCTGGTACTGTGGAATCCATCTGTGATGGTCAAGGTTGGTCTAAAGGCAAATGGATGTGAGATATTCTTATTAGTGATGGGTAAGCTTCTTGCCTCAAATTATCTTCCCTGGGGTAACTAACATTCTTTTATATTTCTTTAGGATAAGTGTGCTTGTGCTAAGAATTCTCTTGGCAGATACTTCTTTGGTCCTTTTAAGGAAATAGTAGGTGGGTGCTGATTGGTTTCCTCTCTGGTTCAGGACACCCCCCTTTCTAAGGATGAAATAGAACATTGAAAAGGTGGGAAATAGCCATAAGCATATCATGTTCAGCTTGGCCTCCTGGGGAAAGATGCCCTGGGAATGAATGTAATTTCTTGTAGGACTATTGGATGCAGTTGTTTCTGTAATGTTAGCTAATCTGTGATAGGCTAGATGAATCAAAATAACCTCTCTCACAAGGGACTATGTTGTTTCAGAATACATCATTTAGCAGAGACTACTGTAACTGGATATTAGATTGTGAATTTGCAGAAAGCCTAAAGTGAAAAAATACAAAACATAAGAAATATTAGCGTCCCTACTCTCAAAGTTTATGGGCACCAGAGGACGTTGAATCTTACATACAAACCAAAAAAATAGGCTTTGATTTTTTTCCTAGGACACAGGTTTGAAATTCTTTTAACAGAAGAAAAATAAAACTCTAAATTTCTCAGACAGTACCCACCTTCACTCACCATACTTGAAAGCAACAACAAAGAATTGAGTTTCTGGGTTAAACTGTATGAAGAATGAACATATGTGCGTTCCTTTATGTGACTTTTGTGCTCAATGCCAAATAGCCTAGAATTGTAAATGAGAGGGTAAAAAAAATCCAAACTTTGGAACTATTATTTAAAGATCCATTCTTAGAGAAAGGAAAGACTTGCTGTCTGACGTTTGAATTATCTATAACTGTTGATAATTCATAGACCAATTGCTGGCTCTGTGTTATACTTTTGAGTGTTTATAAATGGGAATGGACCATAGACCTTCCCAGGTATGTATATTTCAATGCCATCAACCCAGAACTAAATTCAGTAGATGGATTTGCTCATAGTTGGCAGGTAGTAGAACATTACGACGTCTTCAACATCCTAGTGTCACCAAAAAAAGGGAAACCATTGACAATATTTTGTTGTTGTTGTTGTTGTTGTTGGTCATGGGGCTTGAACTCTGGGCCTGGGTGCTGTTCCTCAGCTCTTCAGCTCAAGGCTAGCGCTCTACCACTTGAACCACAGTGCCACTTCCAGTTTTCTGGTGGTTTATTGAGATAAGTCTTACAGACTTCCCTGCCCAGGCTGGCTTTGAGCCTCGATCCTCAGATCTCAGCCTCCTGAGTTACTAGGATTATAGGCGTGAGCCACTGGCACCTGGCCACCATTGACAATCTTAAAAAGGTTGCCTAGGAGCCAGGCACCGGTGGCTCATGCCTGTATTCCAAGCTACTCAGGAGGCTGAGATCTGAGGATTGCTGTTTGAAGCCAACCCTAGCAGAAAAGTCTATGAGACTCTCATTTGCAATTAACCCCCAGAAAACTGGAAGTGGAGCTGTGGTTCAAAGTAGTAGAGTGCTAGCCTTAAGCAATAAAGCTCAGGGACTGCACCCATACCCTGAGTTCAAGCCCCAATTAAAAAAAAAAAAAAAGGTTGCTTAGGTTCTTGGGCTAAAGTGGATTTTTTTTTTCCTTCAAGATGGTTGAGACCCAGGTCATAATAAAAATAGAATTTACAGAGACACAGAAATTAGCTATTTGCCTCTTAAGTCATTGGGAGGAAAATTCCATTCCGGTTGAATAATAGAAGATTAAACATGTCAGTGTTGTTCCGTTTCTGCTGTATTAATGATTTAATATATCTACAAAGACTTAATAAATTAAACAAAAGATCTGTAATGCTCATGCAGACCCTTTTTGTTGTCAGGTACTTCTTTTTCTTAGACTTAGTTGTCCTGAGAAGATAATACATTCAAATAAATCTTCAGATTTTGCTTTCCTGTTCTATTCTCCCTTAGCAAAGCAAGGGGAAATATACTTCCTTTTAACAAATACCTTGGTTTTTTAAATTATATGTTTGTGTAAAGTATAAAAATAAAGATAAACACACAAGAAATTTAAAATTACAGTAGGCCCAACTTCTGAAGCATTAGAATTTCCTAGGTCGTATAGAAGCAATTTTAGAGATAAGCTCAGATACCTTACTTAGCTTTTTAGCAAAGACCATTAATCATTCACAATGACAGTTTTGTTATATGTTGGCTTACATGCAGTGTGGATTTTGGTGATAATAAGTAGTAATAAACAAATATAACCAAGTGTATTCCCATAGCAAAGGGACAATTCTACCATCTTCCAGGCTTACAAATTATTCATGGCTGGTATGTTTATGTCTGTGGGCACATTTGAGGGCTTACCCCATAATTGTCATCCACCCTAGACCTTCCCCTGGTCCACCTCCAAAAATGTCACCAACGTACCCAAATCTTAACTCCTGTAGGTATTCCGTAGGTCTTTATTAGTAAAGACACCCAGGAACACCAAGCTTGGGGGATGGGACAAGGGGTTCTACCCTGGCTCTGTGACCTTCATGTAGCCATGTCTAGGCCTTTCTCACCGAGACTCTGAGTACTTTGGTTCAATGACTAAGAGAATTCCAGCTCTCACACTTTTTTCCCCACCTCTTACTGATCATTCTACATACAAAGGGATAAGCAGGCTCAGAATAGTTTCCTAGCAAGAGCCAAAGCATCTACTGCAGTGAAATTCTAAATGGACGATGTGTTTTCTCACATTTGAGGCAAAGATGCTGCTGTGTAAAACATTATTTTGGATTCCAGCAGAAATGAGGTCATTTAACCGCTTCAAGACGAGCCCCTCAAATGCACCACCCATCTTAGTGAATAAATCCCCGAGCTGGCTTCAGTGCAGAGATGCATGTGTGAACTCACATTAGATGGTGGTTCACGGAGAAGGGTAACACTCTGACAAAATTAAGACAGAACTCTGTAACATCCCATTTTTTGTGGTTTGGCTTTTTCTCAATAGGCTGACAATGTCTCTTACAGTTGTCCTTTAAGCCATATCTAACAAGATTTCTGTCTCAGTAGGGTCTGTCTCAGAACTCAGTTGTCTCTCCAACTAGATCAGCAGCCATGCGATGAATGCTGGAAAACACACAGGTATCCCCTGTCTGTGGAATTTGTGCTTTTCTGACGGACAGCTGTCCCTTCCTGATACAGCTATTAGAGTGGTGTGAATAGTTCACTACATTCCAGGAGCATCCTCATTGAAATAACTCACAGATGACTTAATAAAGAGAAAATGTGTTCTCAATTGAGATAACACACACACACACACACACACACGTACACTCACCCACACACTGGTGTCCCATCTGGATGAGCTTCTTGATATTAGTCTCAGAGACATCAAAGAACTATAAGATTCATGGATAAACAATCTATACTTGTTAATTCTTTGATACTTTTGGAATTGGCTATGTAATAAGCTCTATTCTAGTTACTAGAGAACCCATTGGTAAATGAGATAGAGTTCCTGTCAGGTGGGATTTATAGCCTAGGAAGGGGCTAGACACATGAAACAAATAAACAAATTAATCAGAATGTCGGCTGGTGACAAGTACTATAAATGAACTAAATGAGAGCGAAGAGGAAGATGGCAGGACTGTGTTGTAGATAGGGGGCAGCGGGCTATTGCACGTCAGCAGAGAAAGAATGCACTGAAGAGGTGTTTCAGTTAAGCCCGCATGTTAGGAAAGAGCAGCCTGCAAAATCTTGGGGCAGAATGTTCTCAGAAAAGAATTACCAAAAGCAGCTTCAAGAGGCAGCAGGAGAGGCCATGGACAGCACCAGCTTGGGTGAGCAAGGACTTGGTTCTCAGTCTATCGGGAACTGTGGAAGCCATCAGAGAACAAGCTGATTGTATCACGCCCTGTGCTTTTTAAACATTCACCTTGGATGTTGAATGAAGAACAATGAACTGTAGGAGGTGAAGAATAAAAGAGACTAGATCAGAGGCTATTGTGTTGACAAGAGTACTGGTGGGGAAGAAAGTCATGGATACAGGACCTATTTTAGGAGTGCTGTAAAATGTGGAGATCTCACATGGTTCAGCTATGGGAAATGAGATAGAAGGAGGGATCAAAGATCACTCATGGCTTTTGGCTTATTCCTCTGTAGTGTGATATGGAAAAACCAAGAATAGGAGGGAGAAGAATTCAGATTTAATCCTGCTGAGGTATGAGTTATATATACCCAAGTGGAATTGTAAGGTAGCTGTCTGCATACTGAGATATTTAAGTTAGCTTATTCGCTTTTGGCCAGTACCCTTTAGCACTAAAAGCTTCAAAGGAGCGCATTTAGTTTTTAATTGAATGTTGTTTTAGCCATATCTAACTAAATTTAATACTGATAATTGTGCAAGAAACAGATAAAATTTTCTTCTTGATGTCTGTCTTTCTTCATATTCCTCTGAACTTTTTTTTTTATTAGATGATGGAGAAATTTCAAGACAGGGAAATCTACGTTGATTCCTTTGAACACTTCTCTTATAATTCCTACTATATAGGGAAATCAGATAATTTCCCTATACAGCTATAGGGAAAAAATCATATTATTAGATAAAAGAGGAGGGAGGAGATAAAAGTGAAGAGGAGGCATAGAGGAGCAGAGGAAGAGGAGAGGAGGGAATGTTTTTTGACAAGTGGAATTGGCTCTGTGGACACAGTGGTGTGTACTTGTAGACCCAGCACTTGGGGGACCAAGACCAGAAGATCCTGTCCCAGAATTCAAGACCAACCCAGAAAACATAGTCTATGTCTTAAAAAAATAATAGGGGTCTATATTACAGACTGTCATTTCTACCCTCAGAAGCCATTTGCATTAATTAAGTAGGTGTTTTGTTAGATTTTTGACTGGCTGAATGTGTGTCGGGTTCTGGTACATTTGAACTATGTATGTGAATGCTGTTTGTGTAAGTTGTCTTTAACTTGTCTGTATCTGAGGATTTCTATCTCCATGGGCATTGTTTTACAAGTTTCTTATCATAATTCTTACCTCTACAAGCATTTAAAGCTAAGAAGGAATGTATCTGGTACTGTCACACCTCTGTAAGCCATTCTTAGATGTTCAGCTTAACAAAAGATGACGGTAAGGGCCCTGCACTGTGGTTTTTGCCTGTAATCCTAGATACTCAAGAGGCTGAGATCAGAGGATTGAGATTCAAAGCCAACCCAGACGGGAAAGTCATGAAACTCTTTCCTTCAATTAACCACCAAAAAGCCAGAAGTGGAGCTGTGGCTCAAATGGTAGAGCATTAGCCTTGCACAAAGTAAAAGTTCAAAGACAGAGCCTGAGTTCAAGCCCCCTGAGGAGCACACACACACACACACACACACACACACACACACACACACACACACACACACACACACACACACACACACACACACACACACACACACACACACACACACACACAGGATGGTAAAAGAGAAAAGAATGATGGTATAAGTTAATAATTTGGCTAAAACCAAATGAATTTTCTTATTTCTGAACTCCAATGGTAGACCCTGTTGCTCTTGGCAAAGAGATCTACAGCTTTTCTGTGCTGAGGAACAAAACAGTCCTGTATCATCTGCTAGAACCCAGGAATCTTGGCATGGCATCTCTTCCATGAGAACACAAGTCAAGCCACTGTCCTGTAATGTAACCCAGGGAGGCAGTGGGGCCTGTCCAGGATTTGCATGTAGGAGACCAGCCAGCCAGGACAGCAGCTCTTCAGCACATCTTGATTTGTTCTTTCTGGTGGTATTTGCTAGGCCATCGACTCTCCCCTATTGAAGCTGCTGAGAGCTGCCATCTTGGCCAGATACAACATTTCCCAGGGTGGCTTTTATGGAAGTCATGGAACTGTGAGAGACTCAAGGCCAGGAAGGGTGTTTCTCAATGGGGAAGAAAAAGGTGTTCCAGAGGTCAGAGGCAGCAACCCAAAAACCATGGAGTCCAGAGAGAGAGAGTTGGATAAAATAGCAATCACTGACAAGCTCATGAGCTACTGTGGTAAGCCAGTGACTTCTGAAGTTACGTTTGGCCAGACAGGTTACATTTGTCTGTGGTCAGCGGGTGGAGGAGACAGTTGGCACCACTGGATGTGGCTGGAATCGCGAGACCCCAGCGAGCACGCTGTTCTAGAAAAAGTGAGGGTGTCTGGCTGGTAATAATTTCCCCAGACATTCCTATTGCTGCACATCAGTGCCTCCTCAACATCTGGCTTTTTTATGATTGCATAAAGTTTCATTTTAGTTTCTGACAGTGTGTTTCAGATTTTCTAAATGTTTCACATTCTTTTTCCTTTGCAAGCAACTTGAATGGGCAAATTGCCTATGTCTTGGGAGCTGATGGCTTTGTCTTATTGGATCTTCATGGCTGCATTGGATGGACCTTCATGATGGATGAGAAAAACAGATGGCTTTTGTTTTATGTCTGGAGGAATATCTTGTGACCCATGCCATATATCTAGGACCAAAGAAAATGACAGGGGTGAACCTAAAGTAACCTCCCCCCCCCCATCACTTTTTGAAGTAATTTCTCTGACCAGCCTAAATCTCTAAAAGAATCCATTCATTTTACGTTGAACATGTTTGTGTTCTTGGGAAGAAATAAGGATTTAAGTGGAAGATGAACCAGAGTAGAAAAGCCAACTAGTAACCAAATGGCTTCAAGACATTAATTAGCTGATTTTTTTTCTATTTTATTTCATTTACTTTTATTGTTATTCTCAAGGTGACTACAGAAGGGTTACCATTTCATAAATCTGGTAATGAGTGCATTTCTGTTTGAGCAATATCACCCCTTCCTTCAGGCTTTCCAGGTTTTTCCTTTCCATCTTTGCCCACAAGTCGTATAGTCTATTTTCAATGTAGTGTCCAGTGAGTGCCACTGCGGCATTTGTTCACCATTTGTCCCACCATTTCTGTAACTTTCCTTACCCGCCCCGCCCCCCAAGACAGATCAACTAGTTGGGGTTTTGGAGTTTTTTGTTGGTTTTTATAGGAGTTAAAGCATGTTTTGAATGTTTTGAAAGAGCAGGCAAACAAATGGTGTTACCTGTTCTTTTCCCCCAGCAGTTGACATTCAGTTCATCAATTTCTGCTTTGATTTCTCCTACCAAAGATCTTATTTATGAGTTTTAGGACATTTGAAGTTGAAATTAGTGTTTTAATGTGTGTGTGTGAGTGTGTGTGTGTGTGTGTGTGTGTGTGTGTGTGTGTGTGAGAGAGAGAGAGAGAGAGAGAGATAAGTATCCTAATCTGAAAATCCAAAATGACCAAAAATCCAAAAATTATTGAGCCACTGACATGATGCCACAAGTGGAAACTTCCACGTCTGACCTTATGTGATGGGCCACAGACAAACGTTAGAAGCACTAGAAAGAGTGTATAAAATTGCCATCAGGGTTGGAAATGGAAGAGCACTCAGGAGGCTGAAAATAGTAAATTTGAGGCCATCTGGGCTACATAGGGAGATGCTGTTTCATAAAAACAAAACAAAATGACCTTCAGGCTGTGTATATACGTTACCTATGAGACATAAATGAATTTCATGTTTATGTTTGTAACATCCCCAAGACATATCATGCAAGTACAGATATTACAACATCGGAAGTACTTCTGGTCCCCAGCATTTCCCGGAAGGGACACCCAAGCAGCAATGCATGATACCTGTGAGCATCCGTTACGTACCTTCTGGGTGTTGTCATGCTGCTCCTTTTCCCATGAATGTGTCATTTACCCCTGACTGCAGACTTCAAAATATTAATGATGATTCCCTCTTTAAAGGCAAGGAAACCAGTATTTTGTATTAAAGTTATAAATGGCACAGCTTGCTTCAGACTAACTAGTCGAAGTCTCCTGGCGCCAAGACCTGAGCGTCCTTCCTTTCATCTTCTTTTATTAATTAGTAGCTATGCAGAAGTGGAAGGATCTCAGACTCAGTCACTGTTTATATACATAGAGGTACTGGGATCTGGCAGAAGATGCTTCACCTAACAGGATTCTGGGCTGTCCAGAATCATAGCCACTCGCCACAAATAACTATTTTCTTAGTATTCAACAAAAGTGAATATTCTGACCCTCAATTGTTGGCAGCCATTTTCAACCACTACGCAAGCACCTAAGGCCAAGGGCTCCAGATTGGATGGCAGAAACGGAACATTGCTATTAGTCTACTTTTTTCTTCTTGTTCGTGGGACAGCACTTCCAGCCAGAGATGTTTGTTCAGTCCGTGAGACTTTGCTTCTCTCGCGATCTGTGATGTCTGTTGATAGATTTGGACTGACGTACTAACTCTGCTCTCCAGTGTCGGTGCCATCACCCTCTCACACCCTTCATGCATGCTTACTTTTCTCTTCCAAGGAGGAAGTTGGCCGAATATGGAAGATGGAGCTGCTCAAAGAGGCAGATGGGCTGGGAATTCAGGTTAGTGGAGGCCGAGGATCAAAGCGCTCACCTCACGCTATCGTTGTCACCCAAGTGAAGGAAGGAGGTGCTGCTCACAGGTGACTAGATAATTCCCTCCCCACCCCCTCTTATCTTCCTCCTACCTTTCCCTTGGGTGATGGGTACTTGCCTCTTCCCTGTGGTCAAAACCCTGGTAATTATAGTTCATAAAGTTTGTGTTGAGCACAAAAGGAAATGGGGCAAGAGCAATTCTAATTAAACCTATCTCTGAGCACAGGAAGTAGGTAACTGGGGAGTATACTACAGGAACGTCCCAGCCCTGGAGGAGATACTGGATTTCTGTCTAGTCTTAGATTTAAGCAAATGTTACTAATCCTAACTTTTAAGTTGCTAAGATGATACTATGACTTATTAAGAATTAGGTAAATTTTTAAACAATTAATATCATTATTTCTGAAGAATATGCCACTAAACATAACCACATTCTTGACATTCTTAACTCCTTAAGACCAAGACTAATGACTTGGCTGCCACAGTTCACATTTGCCTGTCAAGTTTGTCAAGGTCTTGCACACACTTACACCTGTGTTAACAGGTGTTAACACAGGTGTGAAAGGGAACAAAGCATTTTTCTCCATGGGCTCTCCTCTCTTTTTTTTTTTTTTTTTTTTGCCTTCCTTGGATGTGGTAGCTGTTCCTCTCTTATTTTTAATATGAACAATCATGTAAGTAGTAAGAAAGACAGTGTTTACTTACAGAATGTGAAAAAAAAGAAGGAAAGTCATTTTGAGTATGTAAGACACAGCTCAAAATGATCAGACAAGCTCTTTGCCTTGCTAATTGCTTGTGAACACTGCTGCTTGCAAGGCATTATTGGTCACTTATGTGTATTGCTTACCAGCACATACCTGGTCTATAGTCTATAGAAGGAGGAAGAATTTCACTGATGTAGGAGATGAATGTCTTTTGTGTAGTCTGAAATTTTTCAAGGCCAAGTACCCTGATTCTAAGAACAATAGACAAGCCAAAGTAGTATTGGCCTGCTCACGATCAAGAAGGGACTCAAAAGTATATCTTAAGTAGTATAGTTGAAAGAACTACATTTACATAGTTAGACTAAAGAATGGAAAGCAGCTGGGCATTGGTGGCCTATAATCCTAGCTACTCAAATGGCTGAGATCTAAGGATCGTGGTTCAAAGCCAGCCTGGGCAGGAAAGTCTGTGAGACTCTTATCTCTAATTAGGTAGCAAAAAGCCAGAGGTAGAATTGTGACTCAAGAGGTAGAGCACTAGCTTTGAGCAAAAAAAAGCTCAGGGACAGCACTCAGGCTCTACATCTAAGGCCCAGGACTGGCACCAAAAATAAAAAATGAAAGAATGGAAAACTTTGAAGACCAGCAGAAAAAATAGCAAAGCGTTTCCTGTTTTCAGTCCTCTTGGAAAGCAGGATGCTAATAACTAGAGATGTGATTAGCTCCAACTGTCAATTATCTAGGTGACAGTAATTATTAAAAGATTAAGACTTCAGATGGTTTTAGCCCAGCTGAGCATTATTAAACTTCCTGAATGACACGTGCCTTAAGGAACTCCCATCAGGTAGCCTTTCTTTCCCATTATGCTTAGGCCTTCCATTCTAGTCTATTTTGAGCACATTGGCAATTAGGAAATTTCTGTGCCCAGAGATAAGCTTTCTGTGGAACTGTTCCTCCCTATTTCTCCTTGGAGACATTCCTCACAGGTCTCATCATTTTCTTTGCATTCCCTGCCTGCAGTGGTGTGTCCCTGTCACTGTGGTGTGTGACTCACAAGTAGGGTGTCCTAGCTGATAACAGGAGATAAAAGCCAGGGAATTAAATTGCAAATAGGAAAGGGGCTGGGGCTTGCCTGGTCTTGATAGTATTGTGGCCGAGTAAGTCCAGAGACACTTCCCAGAATCATTTCTTTTTCTTTTTTTTTTTGGGTCCAGTCATGGGTCCTGAACTCTGGGCCTGGGCACTGTCCCTCAGCTCTTCAGCTCAAGGCTAGCGCTCTACCAGTTGAACCACAGTGCCACTTCCGGCTTTTTTCTTTTTGCTTATGTGGTGCTGAGGAATTGAACCCAGGGCCTCATGTATGCAAGGCAAGCGCACTACCACTGAGCCACCTTCCCAGGCCACCAGAATCATTTCTTTTTTTTTTTTTTTTTTTGTCGGTCGTGGGGCTTGAACTCTGGGCCTGGGCGCTGTCTCTCAGCTCTTCAGCTCAAGGCGAGTGCTCTACCACTTGAGCTACAGCGCCACTTCCCAGAATCATTTCTTTATGCCAGCATCACTCTCCCCCTGCAGGACCATCTCCTTGAGATGCCAGTTACTTCTCCCCTCTGATTTTCCCATTTCCTTTTTCTCAGCATCTAAGCAACAAGTGGGGCCCTTAGTAGTTCTCTGCTTTGGGAACTTTTGAAGGACAAGAAGCAGAGGCTATTAGAAGTCTCTGGTGCATCCAGGCTTCAGTTAAAGCCTAGATTATGATTTTCTCCCTAGAGAAAGGGAGACAAAGAGTTAGAGATAGAGAAGCTGTTGAAAGCAGGACGATGGAGGTGAGGATAAAAGGAGTGAGGCTGGTTAGTTTGTTGAAAGCATGGGAGGAGAAAGCAGATTGGAGAGAAGCTGGGCTGGGTAGGCCTAGAAGGATTGGAGACATGTCTGGCTTCCATAACAGCAGTCTGTCATGGTGCTGAGGAGAAGCCTTTGAAGGAAAAATAGAGCCCCAGGTCCAAAGTCTTTCCACATCACCTGACTTCCTGTCCACATATAGCAGTCCCTGGCTTCCTTTGTGATTCAGGGAGACCACACCAAAGAAGGCTTAGCTGGAACCCACCTAAGGGACCTTCTAGCCAGATGTGATGGCCCAGAAGTCTGCCATTGTGTGTCACTCAAGGGCCATGGCCTGCCCTGGGAGGGAGTCAGTGCCGGCAGGGTCTCCTGCCAACCCAGCAGGAAGGAAGCCCAAATCAACCATCATGTAAGTTGGACAGAAATAAAGAACAGCCATGTTTATAGGTCAGGTCTGATAGCTACAATAGTACCATTCTTATTTTGTGGATCCTTCTTGCCTGTGAAGCGTGGTTACAACTGTGGACATGAGAATGAGAAAAACACTAGGTGGCTTTATCCTTAGACATACACACAGGGAAATGTCAGGCACAGGTGCCTCCAAGGAGGTCTGGTGAGGGTCCTGTGACCTGGGAAGAGAGAGGGCACAGGATTAGGAGTGGACTTGAGTGGGCTGTCTCTCAGCCTAGCTCAGAGAGTCATTTCTGTGCTGATGACTTGGTCATCAGGCAGAATGACAGGTTTTAAAAAAATTACTTAGTCTAGCATCGTGGTGGTACGTGCCTATAATCCCAGCACTTAAGATTGAGGCAAAAGGATGGTGAGTTCAAGGCCAGCCTGGTATACCTAGTACCATCAAGGCTAGTCTGAGCTACATAATGAGACCTTGTCTCAAAAAACAAGGACTTGGCTAGGTGCCAGTGAATCACACCTATAATCCTAGCTACTCAGAAAGCTGAGCTCTGAGGACTGCAGTTCGAAGCCAGCCCAGGCAGGAAAGTCCATAAGACTCTTATCTCCAGTTACCTACCAGAAAAGCCGAAGTAACTCTGGCTCAAATGGTAGAGCACTCACTTTGAGCTTGAGCTGAGGGACAGCGCCCACGGCACAAGTTCAAGCCCCACAACCAGCAACAACCAAAAAAAAAACCAAGGCCTTGGGACATAACTTAGTGGTAGAGTGCTTACTTGGTACGTGCAAAGCCTGGGTTCAGTCCCTAGCAACACACACACACACACACACCAATATTCCTTGAAAACTTCTGGGTCTTAGTTTCTCTACCTGGGTAGGAGTTCTATTGCCACTCATACTGGATATGGGGAAAATTAAGAACGTGATTCTTGCTGAAATCCTGAAGCTTTTCACTCTTTGTAGGAATGTGGACACCAGAAAGAATCAACCTTGTCCCAAACCATTTCTAGCTGTCACCACTTCCTCTTTTAGCCCAATTTTAACTGTCCAGTCTCATGACCTCCCGTAGCCCCTTGAAAATGTCCCCTCTCAGGCACAGACTGTCTTGACACACGGATTTTTTTCTGTCTCTGTTTGTTAGGGATGGCCGACTGTCCCTAGGAGATGAGCTGCTGGTCATCAATGGTCACTTATTGGTTGGCCTATCCCATGAGGAAGCTGTGGCCATTCTCCGCTCAGCTACTGGCATGGTGCAGCTGGTGGTAGCCAGCAAGGTAGGTCATGTTGGCTCGTTTTTAAATATTCTTAATGGAGGTAAGGAGGTTGGATTGGAACCCTCCCTCTGCCACATGCCAATGTGTATCGTACCTGCATGTCTACCCATTAAATATCCATGACTCACCAGGTACCTGTGGCTCACACCTGTAATCCTAGCTGCTCTGAGGCTAAGATCTGAGGATCATGGTTCAAAGTCAGCAGAAAACTCCATGAGACTCTTTATCTCCAATTAACCACTAGAAAACTGGAAGTGGCTCTGTGGCTCAAGTGGTAGAGCGCAAGCCTTGAGGTGAAGAGCTGAGGGAGAGCACCCAGGCCCAGAGTTCAAGCCCCACAACTGATATATGTCCATGACTCCTCAGGGTAAGCCTGCATGAAGACCCTTAGCTAGAATAGGTTTAATGATTTTGGTTTTTTTTAGAGATATGTTAGGGAATGAAAAAGAAATGTTAGAACTAAGAGCTGGGAAGGTGGAAGGCACACTGTGAAGGAAAGAGGGAAGAGGAAGTTCAGAAGTGAAGACTGGGGAAGAGGAAGGCAACTGTTGGTCAGTTTTGTCAACACTGGCAAAATACCTGAGATGAACAGCTTCAAAGATGTTAGTTTAGTCCACGGTAAGGAGATTCTGTTGCTTTTAGACCTGTGAAAAGGCACAAACAACATAGGGAAAGGCATGGCAGAGGAAAGCTTCTCCTCAGGGTTTCCAGGAAGCAGAGACACAGAGCAAAGAAGAGAACCCTTCAAAGCCATGTTCCCAAAATCCACTTCCATTGCCTCACCTTTTGGCTTCCATCACCTCCTAGTAGTTGGATTATGAGTCCTTCAATGGATTAATTCATTATGGAGTCAGGGTTTTCAGGATTCAATCACTTCCTAAAAGCTCCACCTGTGAACCGTGCACTGGGGCCCATTGCCTTCAACTCACGGGCATTCAGGAGACATTTCCTTTCCAAACCCACAGCAGTGGAGATTGCTTCTCCGTAGACCACAGCTCCTTTCTTCCAATAATCCTGCAGCATTGATGTCACGGACGTGAACTCTTCTGTCTGATAACTTTTTTATGTCCATAGGTAGGGACTAACAATGTAGTGGTCACAATTAACAATCAAACATGAAAATTCTTCAGGTTCCTGAAGTTGAAAATAAAACTAATAATAAATACCATCACTAAGTGCCAACTTAGAAAGTTTGTGAAATCCACTGTTTAAGATGGACATTTCCTGGGTCGTCTGGTCTGTGAACTCTCAAGCAAAATGCTGATTGAAACCTTCCATGCATCCCTGTCCCTATGGAAGAGGTTGGCATGGGTGGGTGAGGAGACACCACAGCTATCTTACTGCCACCAACTCACAATCCTGGGCCCCTCCCTACAAGCCCCTGGCCTTATGTTGAGCACTTGAATCTTGTGTGTTTCTCAGTTGCACTTGGGCTTGTCACAAGCACTTGATGATCATACCTGCCTCCCTCACCTGCTCTGCCCTTCTCTGTATGTACTTAGGAAGCCAAGGGCTGAGTTAATTGCACTTTCTTGGAGTCTTTCTAATCCTAATGGCATGTGGTTCCATGTGTTGCTGTTGACCTTTCAATGTTGTTCAAGGGCTGCTTTCATTGTGTCTCCAGATTGACATTTGATTCAATAAACAATCTCATCTCTGGCTAATGAGCTGAAGCTAGTGAGGTGGCCCCTGGGTGGGAGAGAAGGGCATTGTGGGTATTAAAGCCCTGTGCCAGGCCTGGGGACATGGGAAGAAATGGCATTAGATGGGAGGGAGGGCAGGGAAGAAACACAAGGGATGTTAAGTGTGTACTGCAGGGATGAACAGCAAGGACATTAGAGATGAAAGGCGGGGCAGTGGATGATCCAGAAGCAAGTGCACAGGCTTTGCAGGCCAGAGGCTATGTGTGATCCAAGCAATGGGTGCCGCTGAGGGAGAAGGCAAGGGACAGGCAGTGTGGGGAGGATTGGAAATGGCTGGAGTGGAAGGTATGGGCTGCAGAAGAGGAGGTGGGAGGAGGGTTCAGAAAGCCAGGCAAAGGCTAGATCTTCAAATGCTGACCTGCCCATAAGAGAGTTTCACCTGTGTCCTGAATGTAAGACCAGGGAGGCCCACAAAGGATCCAGAGTCCAAAAGCTGGAATTGCCTGTGCAAAACCTGACCCCAGAAACCCAGATTCTTCAGGGCAAAAGAATAGTGGTTTGAGCTTTGGGTCCCCAACCCCTGCCTCTGACGGTAACCCCACACATGTAACCCTGCCTAAACTCCATGTGCTTCTGGGGTTGGGAGCCTGTAGGTTGACTCCATCAGGTTGACTTTCAGAACTTGTTGGCGTCAGAGGCTAATTGCTGGGTCTTCATGTGTCCCTACAGGAAAGCTCTGCAGAGGACCTGCTCAGGTTAACGTCTAAGAGCTTACCTGATCTTACCAGCTCGGTAGAGGATGTGTCCTCCTGGACTGACAACGAAGACCAGGACCCAGATGGAGAAGAGGAAGAAGGGACAGGTTCATCTTCCGTCCAGGGAGCAGTAAGTGAGCCTCTGGCTTTCCTAGCCTGCTTGATGTGGGACATGGTTGACAGGAGCAGAAGAGAAAAACTAGAGACCATAGCACATTCTTTTATGTTTTCCTCAGCATTTTCTGTAAACGTCTGTAGATGAGGGTGATGTGTTTAATTGAAAAAAAAGTTGGAAATTGTAATCAAGATAAGAGAGCAACTGGCTATTGGTTGGCTAATACATCACTTTTTCAAATGCTTTTTGTTTTTTAAGTTCTAGCAAAGGTTTGTTTTAATGTAACAGTATAAGGTAGGGAGAAATGGAAAACGAGAGAATTTCCCGCTCCCCATGCAGGAAATGGGAGATAAAGACTGATAGGATTCTTTTCTTTTTTGTTGTTTTTTGTTTTTTGTTTTTTTCCAGTCCTGGGGCCTGAACTCAAACCTGGGCACTGTCCCTGAGCTTCTTTTGCTCAAGGCTAGCACTCTTAACCACTTGAGCCACAGTGCCACATCCAGTTTTTTCTGTTTATGTGGGATTGAGGAATCAAACCCAGGGCTTCACAAGCACTCTACCACTAAGCCACCTTTCCAGCCCTCATAGAATGCTTTTATAGTATACATAAGGATAGAGTGAAAAATGGTTAATACATTTTAAACATATACCTCAGAATTTCTGATTGGGCTGGGCGTGGTGTCTGATACCTGTAATCCCATGTGCTCAGGAGATGGAGACAGGAAGATCATGATTCAAGGCCAGCCCAAGAAAAAAGTTAGCAAGACACTGTCTCAAAAACAAGCTGTGGCGGTGCATACCTAAGGTCCCAGCTATGGGAGAGGTTTCTGGTTGAAAGTAGGAAGGTTAACATAAGATGAAAAACACTCAGACCAATTTGTGTGAAATACACCTTCCAATTTTACATCAAGCAAGGACTTTCCTCACTGTCACCCTTCCCTTGTGGGAACACAGTCAGCCAAGGAAGGCTTCAGTTGACGGGCTTTAATGTGGCCGATGGGCTCCTCTTTGTATTCCATATCTGAAAATTGCATCATCTTTAGTGCAAACTTGTTAATCCTTGTTCCCAGTCCAAGCAGCATGAGGATACACCTCTTTCTGCCACTTGGAATCCACTCCTCTTTACCAAGGGCTCCGAACCTAGTTAGTCTGGGTAAGCATTGGAAAATGAGCTTGACTGATCATAAGGACTTTGAAGGCTAACAATCTTGTTCTATTAACCATAACATACTTTATTACTTTAAGGAAAAAAGCTGACTAGATGTGTCAAAGTACATTTATAACTCAGCACTTGAGAGACTGAGGCAGGAGGATAGTGAATTCTATGCCAGCCTGGATTGTATAATGAGATCATATCTTTAAAAAGAAGGGGGGGGTGCTGATATCGTTCAGTGGTAGAGTCTTACTCCTTTCCTTTGGGTCCTAGAAATCCAGGGCCTCTTAGTATGGTTGTGCAGGTGGTAGACCTCACAAAGCTATCACATCTAAGGGAGCACCATTCATATCATACATGTCACAAGCTTTTACATTTATGGTAATAGTTTCCAGAGCTTGACAGTAGTGATTTTCACATTGACAAAGTTGGCATATTATGATGGGGGTTTTTTGTTGTTGTGTTTTGGGTTTTTTTTTTAATCTTCTTGAAGAATCTATCCTGGACCCACAGTATATATCCCTGGGCTGGTTTAGAATCTGCCCAGTGATAGTCTGTGGGCCCAAAGTTGATTTCACTGCTGCTTTTCCTCTTTGGAAGACCCATCTGTAAAAGCAGGTAAACCTGATCTGGATAAGTGGAGTTAAGGTGAATAAAGTAAAATAATTCTGTAATTATTCCTATCTTTACACTCGTGATACCATTCAGCCCTTTACTTTGACTTGCAGTCAATGTAGAGACTATTCTAATTTGCCTGGCCCTCGCTGCCTCCATGACCATCCCCTGCCTGCTTCTCTGGCCTTCTTTTGCCCTAAGCTTTCCATCAGTTCTGTGCCTAGCCATGGCCCATGGTGGCTAGACATTGTCTGCCGGGCCTTAGCCAATGCTCTGCTGGCTCTGTGGACTCCTCGCACAGTTGGCTCATATTCGTCTTTCGGATCCAGATTCTTAAGAGGAAATAACCAGGCATGGGGCTCTCCTGTCAGCCGCCTGCCGCATGCTGTGTGCTGAGTATTTGATCAGGTGTACTTCCCCCTTCCAGCTATAGGAGTGGCAGGAACATGCCTGCTCTGATGGATCTGTACGATTCTGCCAGTGTATCTGCTGTTGACAGGATGAGTGCAAGCCCAAGCACAGCGGAAAACTCACCATACAGCATCCCCAGGAGATGAGGTTAAACAATGCATGCATAACACACACAGCCAGCAGTCATTGAAAACCTGCTGTTTTTTAGACGCAGGTAACAATAAAAACTGACAACAAAATCGAATTCCAGTTTTCTATCAGCAGAGCTGATGCTCACTCCCCTGGCCCACAGCTGCCCACGGCATGGCTGCCCCCAAGGGCCGGGGGTGATACCACATTCTAGTCTCAATGGCCTGTGAGGACACTTTGGAGAAAGCTTGGACAGGCCTGAGCATCGTAATCTCACCAGCACCTTCTCCCTCTTCTCTACCCATCTTCCAAGGCCAAGATCTTCTAGGAGTCTACTTTTGCTCTCTCATTTCTCCAGCCCCAGTGCTACCGGCACAGACTTAATCTCCACTCCTTGCATAGGATGCAGAATGGACTCCATGGCTGTCCAGCCATATGGTCCAGCTCTATGTTGTGTCCAGTGCCCTCTTCTGATGGCTCCTTGAGGCTCAGAGGCATTCCCCATATTCTCCTCCCCTGCCCCCTCACAGCTAGACAAGATTCCTTGCTTAGCGGTCCCCCAAGTGTTTCCACCAGCTTTCAGTGGAGTTGAGGGCCTCGGGGAAGGAGAAGCCACGGTGAAGACCCCCCTCTGACAAAGCCCCTGGCCACTGAGACAGCACAATGGCTCTTTGTGGGGAAATCACAGACATGGTGACTTTTTTTTAATTTTTGTTTTTATAAAGGTAATATACAGAGGGTTTACAGTTATATACGTCAGGCAAGGAATACCTTTCTTTTTGGACAGTGTTACCTCTTCCCCCTCACTCTCCCAGTTTTTCTCTCCCATACCCACCCACAAGTTGTATAGTTCCTTTTCAGCATAGTGTCTAGTGAGTATTACTGCTGCATTTGTTTACCCTTTGTCCCACCCTTTCTGGGCTCCCTTTACCCCCGAAAGGACTCATAAATTAACAAACAAGACAGGAAAGAAACAAAAACCGTCATAAAATTAAAAAAAAAAACCTCTTGTTTCCATTTCCTGGAATTCATAGTGATTTCTTAAAATTTCCTAAGTCACATTCTCTTGCAAAAATCCCAAGTGAATATTTAATTGTCTGGGAGTTTTCTATGCTAAATACTGTTCTGATAAATGACCTATTTCCCATATATAGTATATATATCCATTATGTTACATCTGTTACATGTTTTACTTGAATTGTAAGAATAAATTTCATAAATGTGCTTTTATAAACTTACTACAATTCAAATATTACATATAATTGTGTTACATATAATTTAATTTAAATACCTTTTTCAGATTACAAAAGCAATATTTCACCATATAAATGGTTATGACCAGAAAAACCCACAAAGACAGTATACATAGCATTTAAAAATAGCCATCTTTGACATTTAGACATTTTCCTGTCATTTTTATTGAGTTTTGTTTTGTTTTTGTTGGTCGTGGGACCTGAACTCTGGGCCTGGGCACTGTCCCTCAGCTCTTCAGCTCAAGGCTAGCACTCTACCACTTGAGCTACAACGCCACTTCTGGCTGAGGATTCAAACCAGGACCTCATGCATGCAAGGCAAGCACTCTACCACTGAACCACCTTAATTGAGGTTGTTTTTTTTTTTTCCTTCTCATATCTATGGGTATTTTAGTTGACCTTATGAAAACATACCTAGGAAACTTACTAAGGTCTTAGTTATGTAATAATGAACATTTCCCCAGGTCACTAAAGGAGCTTTTTGAAATAGCTTATAATAGCTAATATTCTTCAGCATGGGAGCACCATAATTTGTGGTGCTAATTTATATCACTCGTGTTCATCCAATTTTTATAAATTTGTTTTTAAAGAGTTCTCTATACATACATATATATATATATATATATATATATATCCCCTATGCCTATGTATGTGTGTGTGCATGTATGTATGTACGTTTCTTAGATGCTTAGTTGTAAGTTTTCTGCAGAAAGGTTATACTGACAGTAGCCATAATCTGTCTCCATTGTCACCAGTAACATTATCTTAATTTTTAAAAAGAGCTTACCAATTAATCTCACATTGTTCTGTTTATTATTGGAGTTTTCCTAAAGGAATTTTAGGAAATAACACACTTTCCTGGGGAAAGTTTAGATTGCCCTTCATGAAAAGCAAATGAAATCCATCAGTATTTCACCCAAGTGAGATTACCCTAGCTGTCAACACAAATCCTAAATCCATTGTTGTTGCTGGACAAAGCAGAAATGGTCTGACTTGGATGATATTCCTTCTCCACTATCTTCCTCCACCCCTCACCCACCTCCCATGAGGAGGGGTCACAGGGATTCCGCTCCCCTGTCCCCTGAGTCTGGACATCCACCATGTTTTAGTCATGCTCTCTAGCTCTGCTTTAGCCAGAAAGATCCCATGCTGAGATGGAGTCCTGCAAGGGGCAGGCACAGTAGACAGCCAGAACCACCTGCCCAGCTCTGCCCTGCTGTGCCATATGCAGATGCTCAGCTATTGAAACTTCTTTTAGTTATAGATTCACAATCCAAGACTCCTCTTAAAAATAATGTCATTGAAAGAACCTGATACCATTCCAGCCAGCTAAGTTATAAAGCCTTTTATTTCACATTGAATGATGATGAAACCTGCCGCCCAATTCCACCCAGGCATCGTGACTGTTTTTGCACCTGTGAGTCATGGTATGCTCCAAGCATTTAGGTTGAGGA